CAACCCATGCACAACGCCATTCATGCTGTTGGCGTTGTTTCATGATCATATGCACCATACGACCACTGAATGTTAAAAATGGCGCCAAGAGCGCAACTTCCAAGCTTCGGTCAACGATCACCCACCCAGCTCTGTCACAAGTAGACTCCCGTTCCAAACCCTCCTCCACACGACCATTTTACAAGTGACTCGAGTAACCAAGGCGGTCTTTAACACCCATCATTTTTTCGTCTTTGAAGAATATGGAGACCAATAGTCACCCAGCGCAACTCCAACCACCCCGCGCTGCCTACTGGCGCTCCAGCTGCACGGCGGGATCATTCTGGTCGTGGCCATGCTGGTGCCGCAGCGCGCTGCCCACCCAGCCGTCCATTAGCCAGCAGGTCCAGCTAGTGGAGTGGGAGTCGGCCAGACTGCCCTCAACCGGCGGAGGCGGGCACAGGCCGGTCCGGCACCAGGTACTGCTGCAGCAGCGTGAACACCAGCGGGGCATACATGTCCACGTAGGCCTGTGTGCGGCACAACACAGCAAGTCGGGGGTCAGCAGGCAGGTCGGGGCAGGCAAGGCTACAGCCGCGAAAAATGAAGAGGCGAGGGATATGTATTTCCGCCGGAAGCCGCAGCAGCGGAGGGAATATCTACACGAGGGGGGGCACGTGTCATTTGAGCTGTAAAGGTGGTGCTGTGCTTGGGTCGTATCTACCGACACGCAGAAATTCGTATATCAACCGGACGACGCAGGCGGGCCACTCTGCCACACGGGTATTCTTCAACCCAGGATGAAGGAAGCCCTTCACCTTAAATATGCTGGGCACAAGTCAACTTTATCCCAGGTCACCACCGTCCATCGACTAGGGGCACTTTTACCTTCCACCATCGGAAGGATTTTCAACCCTAACAAGTTACAAGTTCCACAATTGCGTGCGGAACCCGCACTTGCGTGCGGGTGTGTCCGTAAAAGCCGGGGGTCCATGGATGTTATATTAGTCGTATTGATGCGGGTACACAAGTGGTGCTCGGTGCCAAAACCATGCCCACACCCAGCCTGGCTACCGGCGCGTAGCCTGTTGCCCTCACAGTAATTGATAAGTCGCCTCCCGATGATATTGCCGTAATGTTTGCATAGTGGGCCCCCAACCGCAATGTCCCGATAACTGTCGCAGCAGGACGCGTCCCCTTTTTTGTATACGGGGAAAAGGGTGATAGTCATGAATAATCAGCTCGCGGATATTCAGCTCCGTATATGCGGTTGCATAGCACCGTTAAGTAAGGCGCCAACACAAACACGGGCCGCTGCCCTTCACTCTCCCTGATAGCGTACCTATAATATTCGGCCGGGGTTCCCTCCAGGCCCACGGACAGGCTATGTTGCGCATAGCCTTGAGACCGCTAACAATTTCGCCCTCCGTAAAATCCTTGTTAAGCCAAGCAGCTAATTCCTGTCGGTGCATCACCCGGTCCTCATCCTGCCATTTAAACTGGATACCCTCGTTGCAGCCTTGCCTCACGTTTCCCGCACCCTTAAGCACCTTGGAAAAATGCTCGGTAAAAGCATTTATATCTGAGATCCAGCAAGGAGTAAGGAGGTGGTTTTCCCCCACGCAGCCATGTCCACAAGTCGCGTGGGTTGGACAGGGTGGCCTTAATCCTCCTCCGCATATAATCCTATTCGGTCTAATGAATAGCGGCCTTCCTAGTAGCCTTCTTAAAGACACGGTGCTTGGCCTTCCAGCTAGCCCTATGAATGTCCGGCAGCTTGCCCGAGACGGGGTCCCTGATCTCCTGAACTCATCATATCATTCCGCACAGCGGCGGCGCCGTAGCTTAATTGGTAAAGCACCACCTTAACCGGTGGGAGATGTGGGTTCGAATCCCACCGGCGTCACCATGGGTTGTGAGACTTGTTCGCTGATAATGTATCAGCCTCTGAGGCTCTCCTCAGGGCAACCCGTGGTGTATGTGATGACAAGTCCGTCACCAGAAGGCTAGGCGCCGAGGAGGAGGAGGAATGGATGCACAAGGTCAATGGAGCTGTCCAAGCAAAGTACCTATCAAGAAGCTGCTGTAGCATGGCTAGGCCGAACCTCGCACGAGCCTTAGATGGTGACCTCTACGAGGGGTGCGGAATCCCCCAGCGGGTGAAGCGGGTCGTAGGGGGTTAACTACCCTCCGCCAGGACAAAGCGCAGGGTGCTGTGTAGAGTGCAGTAGTGTAAGGGTAGGGAGGCGGTGCGACATGCACGTGGCCTGAAGTTGTAACAGGAGCACCAGACTTCGGCAGGTTGCGATAACTGGTCGTGTCCCACAGCGACAGTGTGGCGTCCTCACCAACGATAGGTGGAACTCTAGGGTGGAAAAGGGCCCGTAG